ATATGAATTAAAGAAAATACACACACACACACACATACACACAAGAATATAGGTCTGACATACAACGTGTGCGTTATATGGCTTTGTAGTAAGGGTATAGTTAGGAGTGTTAGTCAGGAAATGAGTGTGAGGCCATGTGATGCTTTCATTTTTAATCATGTACACATCAGCGAATAACATTTACCACCCTTATTTCTCCCAAATTTCCAAAATTGACTCCTTATTCTATACTCCAAATGCATCTTTGTAACTATCCATACAGAAACTTGACACTGGCAGTTTACACTGAAATCTTTTATTCCACTCCTATATCAGACACTATTTTGTAACAAACATTTTCTCAGTATTTCTTTCTAATTTGGTAATATAAGTAACTTTAAATCCTCATTTCCAAAAATTCATACCAATAGTCCTTCTATAATTTTCTCTCACATGCAATCCATTTCACATCATACAAATCAATACAATATGTTGAAGGTCAGATACCTCTGGACTCAACCTAACTGTACAGTTTAAAAATACATTGAAATTAAATCACATACTACAGGTACATTGCTGGAGATCACACTCTCTCGATCTTAATAAAAATTATCTATTTTAAAGTTACACACACATATAATGAATAACACATTTTTTAAAACTTCTAAAAAACTCATTCTTGCACTATAAAACTCTAAGTTGATTCTTAAACATAACCATAGGTTTTCACATTTTGAGAATCAATTTTTAACATTTAAATTTCAAGAAAACATTATACCTTTACTATTCAAAATAAGGTAGTTTGAGTCTTTCAAGTCATAAAATATAGATAAGACTTATGGTTTGGAATCAACTCCTCTTAGCTAGAAATAGGTCTCTCACAACAAGAGCTGAGAGATGAGAGATGATGTTTCTAAGTCAAGGTTCTTCTTGAGATCTAGAGAAAAGTTGCAACGTTTTGATGGAAGATATGGGTCTAAAAGACCAAGTTCTCTCTAACCATTACAAAGTGCAATAACTTTGAGAAGAGAGAAAATGATGAAATAGAAACGAGATTGGAAGATTAAGTTCCAAGAACTTACTTGGAATCAAGTAAGAAAAGATGTCCAAGCTTGGATTCGAGAAATTTAAATTTCAAAGGTGTTTTCTATCTAGGGAAAAGAGTGAAAGAACTGAGAATGAGATGAGAATGATTATTTGCCTTGTGATCTAAGTTTTAAAATGATAAAGTCACTTAAATATCTTTTTTTTTAGAATTCTTACTTGAACGAGAAAATCAGATAATTTCTTTTATACATTTGCTAATATTTTTTGCTTTAGTGAGATCATTCTTACTTAAGTGAAAACTTACTAGAGAGCTTCTATTTTTCTCACCTATTTTTGCTTAAGTGAAACAATTTTTTACTTGAGCGAGATATTTTCGTTTGAGTAAGAGTATAGATAGACAATTTTTATCCATTCTCGCTTTAGCTAAAATTTCTCACTTAAATTACAGTGTTGCATTTCATCCGTTATCCTTGCTTCATTTTGGTGTCCTTGTATTCATGTATAAAAATACATGTTCTGAACAATGAAATATAATCATCAATAAATAATAGTTATTCCGTACTCTCATTTTCCGCCACGCTCAAAGTAAGAAGCCCCACTCTACAATCCTTACTAAGAGAAATAGAGTACCATATATTATAGTATGTAAACAAAAGTGGGATATGCATGTGCTTCAATGTGAATCCTCCGTAAACAAAATCTTTAATTACTAGTTTATTGTGTTCAAATTCCCAAAATCGTTCTTTAATCTATTCAAAAAATATATATTATTTTCTTGAATGGTCCACACCATCCACAGACTGTACTCTTTTACTCCCCACCCAAACACACAGAAAAGCTATATATGGTTCTAGCTGGTGCAGGACATTAGGTTTTTGCTACATAAATTTATGTAAAGATAAGAATCTGCCGTACCCATATGTTGATAATTTAGAATATCATTCAGAATAATCAGATATAGCGGTACAATTTTAAATTCTTTTTTTCAGACGTTTCATGGATTAATTAACTTAATATTCATCAACAAGGGTATTTATTTATTTTTACATGAAAGTACAAGGGTAAATATTAATTCATAAGTCTTATTATGATTAATGAAAATTAATTAAAACATATAACCACCAACATAACAAAAATATTTCAGCTTATATGATTTTAAATTTGACTTTAAGTTAATATAATTAAATATATGCTTATTTTAAGAAATCAGGAGCCTATTTAAATTTTGAATGTTTGTATATATTTAAATCAAGTGACTAATTTTCTTCTCGAATAAATAGCTAGCCCTATAACCTTAAGGGGTTATTAGTCGGGTAGAGGAATCTAGCCCTGTAACCTTTGCTTGTCTTCTTAAGTTGAATCCTTTGAAAGTAGTTTTTTAATTCAAAAATATTCTCTATCTTAAAATAAAGCCACATCCCCCTCTTAAATTTCTAAACTACTCTAAATTGTTTAAATACATTAATATAAATAACATTTATGTATAATAATTATAATACTTACTATTTTAATTTATAAAATTTATTAAATTTAAAAATAGTCATATAATATGTTTTTACTATTTATTTAAAAAATTTTAATTTAATTAATGATAGTGTGTAATGTACACAAAAAATTACTAGTTTTTACTGATGTAAAAGCAGGATGGTGCAAGATTATATAATAAAATTGAGAAATGCATAGCTGGAGGAGAAATTCGGAATTCATGGAGATAGATGGTATAACTTGGTAAACCAATTGTTCGTAATGCTATCAAGGCATATTTTCTAACCCATATTTTACTAATATTATTTTGTGAGTTTTAATAAAATTTAAAAAATAATAAATACTATATTCGAAAGAGTATGTTAAAAAAAAAACACTATTATCTATTAGTAAATTGTCAAAAAGTGCTAATTGAGTTAAGAAGCAAAAATCGTAAAGATTTAAGATAATGTTAATTGGTGTCTAGGTTAAAGAATTAAAAATAAATAAAATGTCATTTCTTTTATATTTTAGATTATGTAGAAAATATAAAAAAATAAATTTTATATTCCAAATTCATGAAAAGATATTATTTAATTTTCCATTATACTTTTTATTTTGTTATATTAAAATATATTTCATTTATTTATTATTTTCTATCAAATACACATTAACTATTAAAGACAAAATTAAAAAATAATTATCAATTAAATTTACAAAATGAAAATAATAAAGTTGCTAGTCTAAAAAAATTGTTTAACATTAGTAGTTTTGTTATTTTCCGTCTTCAAAATTAAGCTTAAGCATTCAAAATAATAATTCTTTATTAAAAATAATTATTTTACTTTGTACATTTAATACAATGAATACTATTTTTTAATAAAACTTTAATATTTTAAAATACTTTGACTTAATATAAAGATTAACTAAACCATTACATGGATCGTTATTGTTAAATAATGTTAGAAAATAAAATTCCTGATATACTCAAATAAACCTGCAGAAGCTTGCCGGTCAATATAGTATATTTGGCTCCTTCACATTATTACAAATGCCCTCTTTGGTGTGCCTAAAGGAGACAGAGACGTGTCCAACGTTAACAAACAATTAATCAAAAACCGAGGGCGAGCATATCGAAATCAACTAATAATATAAAGACAAATACAAACATCGATTAAGGGAAATTAACTAAAAATATTATTTAAAAATATTATTGATACACTTTTTTCTATAAACTTTAATATAATTTTTAATAAAATATATTGTTAATTCAACGGGTTAATATAAAAACAGTTTTTGAATGGGTTCAAAGACAATAAAATTTCATTAAAAATTATACAATATAACTTTTGATAAAATTTATTTATTTATTATTATTTTTATCGTGTACTCTTTAAACACCCTTTTAAGAAATGATATAAAAATTGAAGAGTACCACTAGATCTTCACATAAATGTATCCGTACGGATTCTTAATTTGTCACTGGAAAAGCATAAAACATTTCTTAGTGGTCTTTTCAATAGATCCACGCGCTGATTCTGAGTCAAATATCTTATATGCGTAATTGCATGTTGGTACTTGCAAAATGTGAGCCTAATACACTTTAATTGAGTAGTGAACAACTTAAACTTTAATTAACATCTCGTAAGAGAAACGAATAAGGGACAAGGAAAATGAATCGCTCTAAAACTCTAACATATAATGGAAGTATCAAAACGTACTTGATTGATTGTTAGTGTAATGATACCAAGGGACCTCTTTTGATGTAAAAAAACAAGCAACTTCAACCTTCTCAATAAACTAGTTTGCGGGGCATGCATGAAGGGCCATGACGACTATTCTTAGATCATGTTTTAACCTTGTAATGTGTGTTTAAAGAAACACAATAAACAAAATTAATAAATGGTTTTTTTATAAAAAAAATATAACATTAAAAAATATAACATTTAATGCTATTAATATATTAAAGTTTAAGAGATTATATAATTTTTAATAAAAATTTTATGATGTGTTTTTTTACATCATTGAATAAATTTGACATAATTTTTTGTGCATGCAGTTAAGCTCATTCATTGGTAATAGGTGAGAGTTTTGTATCAACGTATTATTGAATGATCTGTATTTTTCTTCTAAGAATACATCAAATTCAAATTTGAAATTTGAATGATATGTACTATTGAATTATATATGGATTCAGCTTAACTCTTATTTGTGGCCTTGTTACTCAGGGTGCCACCATTTTGGCATGCAATTTGAAAATCCAAATCATCCTTAGCCAGAAAAATATATAGTAGAAAACATCAACCAAAATATTTAGGTTATCAAATTGTGGCCCACATTTCATTATTAAAAAAAAACAAAGTACAGATTAAGATCAACTTGTCTGAGTCACACAGAAAAAAGAAAATTAAAGAAAGCCATCACAACTAAATTAAGTTAAAAAACATAATTAAATCATGCATCACACCACAGATGATTTAATTACTATTGCAGAAAATAAAGCACACGAACTACTCTATTCGTTTTAAAACGACAAAAAATTGAATTTTGTCCCTGTATTTTGCTTCCAGCATTTCACTTTTGTCCAACATATGTTTGGTTAGACGTTGGAACATTTCATGTGTGACTTCATTTCCGAAGTGTCTGATGAAAATTGCCTCCATTGCAGCCCTCACATGAATTATCCATTCAGGTATCACCTGAGCTGTGCTCTTCAACCATGGTGCTGGGTTTGTTAGTTCCATTCGTTCAATGCTAAATCTACTATTCATTTCTATCAGCTTTGTCATCTCCTCTGGACTCGGTGCATAGAATGGCAAATTGAAATAATCAACTTGTGATTCATCAAACTTGCCCTATATGAAAAAAATTAGAATTGCAAAATATATCTTAGATACGTGACCTGACCATATATTGGCAACCTACACTTCTTGAAGATGGATTGAAAGGAAATTTAATAAGATAGATGAAAACTAAATATAATTATTTTTGAAAATTACTCCGATTAATTGAGTATTTTTCTTTTCCTCATGAGCACAGGTGCTATGTTTATTTATCAAGCATTAATTGGTTATCACTGTGTCTTTATGTTTAGATATTAAATGATAGATAGAATGGGATCGTGTATTGTGGTATCCTAAAATTTTTTTATGGGTATTATATTCAAAAAATTTAGACCAATATGTGTCAAATTAAAAAATATTATTATATATAATTTATTTAAAGTTATATTATTTATATTATTTACTACATAGTTTTATTATTATTATTATTATTATTATTTATCCAATTTCTTTTTTTTTAATATTTTTTATAAATTTTTAGTTTCAAATAAAATATAATTTATATTAAAATTATTTAATAATAAATTATTATATTTATTAAATTTAAAGAAGTCGAAGAGCGGTTAAATTTTTAAATAAAAATAAAATGCAATTAAAATTAAACTAACTAAAATATAAACAAGAAATAATAATATTATATTAATATATTTCTATATTCTTAATTCTATTATTATTAATATTTAATTATTTAATTATTATATTAATATATTATGTTATAATTAGTTTTTATTTATAATAAATAAAAATTACTTAAATATAAATTATATTTTATTTAAAAAATAAAAAATTATAAAAATGATAAATAAATAAAATAAGAAATTAAATATACTATATATATATATATATATATAATAAAACTATATAGCAAATAATATAAATAATATAACTTTAAATAAATTATATATAATAATTTCTTTTAACTTGATACGTATTTCTTTTTTATTGTTACAGTATTCATAAAAAAATATTAAAATACCATAGAATTTACGTAAAATAAAAATATTACACTGTTTCATTCTATTATTTGAAAAGTAAATGAAATAAAAAAGGAGATGAATTAGTTTCATTCCTTTAACATTTATATAAACAACAATAAACAATATATCATTCTTTTTTATTTTTCTTCTTTTCCCTTTTCCTCTATCAATTTAAATTTAACAGCTTCGAACATATATACACTGTGAGGAGTAACAACTAGGAAATACCCAACAACTCGTTAAGAATACTAGGATCATAAACGACAGAATTCAGGTACCATATGACCTCTCTCAGTTAGGTACACTTACCAAATGCAAAAATAACAAAAGCTATTTTGGTTCCAATATGCATGGAAAGGATGTAAAAAAGAAACGAAAAAGCAGTGGTAATTACCTCCTTTGAAAGCTCAATGAGGATAGATCCCATGCTATCATATAGCATACCATTTATGATGTCAGAATAAGGCATACCATTAGGAACACCTTGCATGACTATGACCAGCATGCCACCAGGCACAAGTTCTGCAGCCCTAGCATCCAAAAAATTTCCTGCATCCTTAGCAAATTGAGCTGCATATGCATCAACCACTGCCTTTGAAGCACTTGTGTAATGAATTCTACCTTTGTTCCATGCAGGATTGTTAATGTCTTGCAACACATCTGGTGACTTTGAAAGAAAATGGAGGGCGTAAGTAGAAGATGCAAAATGAAGAGATGAATTTGGAAACAAACGATCATAGAAAGAACCAGGGACACCGGAAGCATAGTAGTTTCTCTCATGAGGCAAAGAAGTGAAAAGGGTGTTGAAATCGTTGGATGGTTGGTCATTGAAGAAGACATGGAACTCGGGCATTATTGCACTGTTTTGACATTGACTTTGGTACTTGTTCTTGATCGCTTCAAGAACATTTTGTGCATTCATGAAAGTGTTTGGACCAGTGGCACATCCCAAATCTACTACGCGGATAATCATGTTCGATGCACAAGCTAGCTTTTTCACATCGAGCTTCTTGTGGATTTCTTCTTCGATCTTACTCTCTTCAACGCTTGAACTTTGTTTCTACAATGAGATCTTGTTTAGAATGACTAACATTGACATTCTCATTTCTAGATAGCTAATCTCTAGGGTTTTTTCCCTTGTTTTTTTGTAATATATGTAGATAAATATTAAATGCATGTTTAACTAAGTTTATTTTGAAAATAAAGTATTGTTTTTGTTACTTTATAACTTTCAGAGAGTTTTGATAAAATAGTATCCTTAAATTAAACCGTCGAATAAAGTTTAAGAATAAAAAAAAACACTTTTATTAAAATAAGAAGATATTTGTTACATTAAAGATACAAAAGTGTAATAAATATTTTGAATAAAATTTAATTATTAATAATTATTTAAATTTAGTTTTGAGAACTTAATAGGATTATTAAAATATAATTTTTTAACCATGTTCAAAGACGCATGTTAAAAAATAAAATATAATAAATTTTATTTAAAATTATAATATTTAATGTTATTAATATATTAAATTATGAGATACTTTTATTATTTTTTTTATAAAATTTATAAATATAAGTTTTTAATGTATTTCTTTAAGCAAAAATTAGAAAAATTATTATTAAAAAAGACAGTTATTAATTCTTTAAAATAATAATTCTAACAAATGCATTAATTATGTGAATTATTTCTTGGTTTTAATGAGTTTAGCAAAACCAGATTTGATATGGTAATGAACATGAATATGAGACTCCATTGGTGTACAGGTTTCCGTGTTTTTTGTTTTCAAAGATCAATATAAGAGAGTGAAGTGAGGGGAAGGAAACCAATCGAGATCTACTTAAGGGAGAAGAGGAGAAAGGAAGAGAGTTAATACCAAGTATGGTGCCTTACTTCGATCCAATCATTTAACGGCTTACTGGGAAAATGCTGGACCTAATGATTTTTTATTTTTCTTTTTAGTTCCATGACCTAAATGATTACAATGGGGAAAAATATTACGTTTTCTTTCGCTTTGTCAAGCGTGCTTGGAATTCCTAATTAATCATGGATCGTATTAAGATTTATATAATTTTTTATAAAAAAATCATTAATTTACTTAAAATAATATTTGTTATTTCATGGAATAACTTAATCGTACCCATTGTACCTTGCTCCTTAAGCTCTATTTAATACAGAAGATATCTTAACCCCAAAATGCAAGACGTTGTCCACACTATTCTCAGTCAATTAGTCTTGTATACATGCAAACAGCATTACATTGCATTGCATTCCACAGCTTATTGCATACAATACCTTTATATGTTAATTAAATCTAAAACAAGAGAGGGAGGGAAACGCCAGATCATACGACATAACTTTTTCACATAAATCAATTAAGAAAGAGAGGGGAAATTAAGATGCTCCGAAAACCGTTAAAAATCTCCATCTTTGGAGCATCTGTGTTAATTACTTGCGCCTTCTGTTTTGTGACGATATGGGTAACCACAATGCAAAGTTTAAATGCATGCGCGTTGATGGAACCCAAATGGACACATAACCATGAATGTATTTTGCATGTTTATTTATAGATTTATAGCTTTAGTATCTACCTTCTAGTTTTTCGCCCTCCCACTTTCCAATTTCAACATCCCTAAGACATATTGTTTCATTTTTTTTTATTTAATAGTTATTAATTCAAAAAGTATAATAAGAATTATTGTATAGATGGGAATAAAAGGGGTGGTTGATGAAAGGGATATTCATGTATGTACCTGAAAGTAGGAATTTTTGGAGTAGCTATACGTGCCACTGCCTCCATTTGGTGGCAATGCATTGATTTGGTGTGCTTGAAGATCCATGAAGGACTCTGCCGATATGTTCATCTATGGAAGAGACTTGGTCGCATTATATAGAAGTCGACGTATAGCAAAAGCACCATCAAAGAAGCATGCAATAGGTAATTGGTGGTCCTATTTTTTTGTCGTTATTAATATTTAGTATATTTACGTTTCTATCCTTTGCATACTTCCATAGTCACAAACAACAACATGTTGGTTGGTTGGAGGAAGGGCAGGTTCGCTTTTGATGATAAATTAATGTGAAGGTGTAAAAAAAATAGAATGTTTTGAATTTTTTCTATTTTTTATTTAATGCAACTTTTAATCCTTGTTTGAAATGCCTAATCTATGGTTTAAGAAAATGTTCACGCCTTACGCCTTTTATTCAAATAATAAAATCTAAATATACCTTTTACTTTTAACTTTCTTTCGTGTAATGACTTTTTTCTTCTATAATATATGATAAAGGATTGTTTATTATGTCTCACCATTAAAAACAAATATATGAATTTTTCTTCATACCTTACAAAATATTATTTAAACCATTGTTATTATGTTTTGATGTTTAATAATGTGTGAGTGTTGGAGTATTCTTTATATCCCTTTTATTTTAATTTCTTTGGCTGATGGAAAAAATCTTATTTCAACTGAACATTTTAACCATTAAACTAACGATTAGTCAAGTAATCTAATTTAAAATGACATACTTCACACTACAACTATATATTAGTTATAATATTAATTTCATTATTTTACAAACAAGATATTCAAATATAGATGGTTCAATCAATTAACTCAACAAATGACTCACAAAATTAAAAGCTTCACAATCTAACTAGATTTTGTAATAATATATTGATTTATTTATATAAATGTATGAATTGATGTTTGAGTGTGCATTTGATTGTGTGATGAGTTGGATGTGAATATGATTATGAAGATATTTGTATAGTGTGGTTGAAATGTGATATGGACTTGTGATTGGGTTGGAATTGTTTGAAATATATGCTAAGTGTGTGTTGTAGGGGCATTCTTGTTGTGGCGAGTGGATTCTCGCTGTAGCGAGAAGACCCTGGGCATGGAGCATGGATCTGTAGCATTTTGGTTGTAACGAGAGGGTTTTCACTTTAATGAGAAGGCCCTGGGAGAAAGGGGCGATTTTGTTGCATTCTCACTGTAGCAAGAGGCTCCTCACTATAGTGAGAAGACAACAGAGAGGGGTGCATTTCTAGGTTGCAGTCTTGCTGTAATGAGAGAGTCTCGCTCTAGTGAGATTCAGCAGAAACCAGAGTACAAATTCGTTTGAGATTTTTGCTGTAGCAAGAAGGGGTGTCGTTGTAGCGAGGGAATGAGAAATGGCTCGCTGTGGCGAGAGTGTCGCGACTCAAGGGGTATTTGAGGGGTTTAGGGTTTGGGAAGCTCATTTCTCATTCCTCTCTTCAAACTTTCTTCTATTCTCTCTACCTTCAATCCTATTTCACCGTTTAAATTGCATCCAAAGCCATTTGGAGGTTAGATTGAATTTGGAGGTAAGTTTTAATGATTAGAGTTTGGTTTTCGTCCCTCTTCTCTGTTTTCTTGGTTCTCTTTGGGTTCTCATAGAGATTTCTCATGTTTTAAGGATGAAGTACCGTGTGGGGAATATTTTTTTGCTATTATTTTGTGTTGGGTCTTTATTCTGAGGTAAAGGGGAGTCTACCCTATCTTTGTTTGCTTTGAATCCGTTTATTTGCTAAGAGTTGCAATGTGGCTGAGATAGAATATAGGAATAGGCATGTTTGATAGAATATTCTTGATTAAGCATGATGAAATGAATATTGGACATGTGTGTGATGAAATAGCTTGATTGTGATAGGGTTTTGTTGGAAATTGGGTGTTTGAATGCAATGTCATGTAATGTTGGCAGTCATGCCGTGTGTAAGAATGAATATTATGATGTGATTGAAAATATAGAGGATTATATGTGGTTACATGCCATTGATTGGTGTGAAATAATTTAAAATGAGTGAAAATAATGTGTGAATAGCATGTTACAATTGTGTTGGAATATGTTGGAAAACTATGAATGGTTCAGCGATACACTGGGGGTGTGGAAGATGGGGGCGGTAAAAATACCTTGGGGAAGAGAGGGTGGTGGTTACTGTAACACCTTAATTTAATTTTCAGTAAATAAATTTCTCAAAGATGGGAATAATAAAAAAATTTCATTCAAATGCTTTCCCAATGCATAAGTTCAATAAAGCATTTCACATAAAGATGAATTGCAAGTTTATATCAAAGATTGTTACAGGACTAGTTTTAAATACATCATAGTTTCCAAAATAACTTTATAGTCCTATAGAAGTCTCATCCATTCTCTCACTGAGCCCAGTGCTGATCGTCTTGGTCATTTGAAAAATAAATGTAAGGGTGAGTACTCTACACTATCAAATACGTACAAGCATAGAGACTCACCTGGCATGTTTCCATACACTTCCATCATAATATCAATCACTCATCATACAAGCACAAGCAACAAATCCAAAATTTCATTCTCATCCACACACACAGGTGCACTTACTGCACCGTCAAATAATTTACCCCCACATGGGCTCACTGCACGCTAGCCACGCTCATTGTGATCACAGTTTTCCTGATGCCCTCAACCTCAGGGACTTAGTTTCTCACCATGGATGGTCACCGGATAAACCCCCGGCTCACAGATACAACATGTGCAATCACGAGCCCCTTAACAAAGGTGTTAGTCAGAGGCCAAATCAGGAGGAGAGTGTGTGGCCTGTGGTGCACCCATGCTCACTGTTGGTGTCACCACGACCCTCTCTTTCCCAAGGTATTTCTATCGCCCCCATCTTTCACACCCCCAGTGTATCGCTGAACCATTCATAGCTTTTCACACATTCAAACACAATCACAATCGCATCTAACATGCCATTCACACACATTTCCAACCATTCAAATTATTCACTTTCATACAATGCACGTATGCCTACATTCAATCGCATTACATTCATAACTTTTCCAACACGATTCCGAGTACATTGGTGTATAAAAATCGATTACTGGGCAAGTGTACCCATTGTTAGAGTAATATTGTGAAAAATAGAGTACCAAGTGTCATATCCACAGAGACTACTATTACGAATTATTCCTTAATTACGCAATTGTTCATGAATATGAGAAAGAATTTTTTTTTGATAAAATTACTGGAAGAGACGAATAATAAATTAAAAGAAACAGATTTCTTATGATAGTAAAATATAGAAAAGTATGGCTGAGTGTATTCAAGAGAAATAAGCGAGTATCTAGATTGTAAATCCTCCTAAGTATTCAAATAACTGAAATTCTCCTTCAACTACTTAGTTCTAAACCCTTATCGTTGTAAGAATTCTGAATTAAACCAATACCTTCCTCAAGGATAATGATTCCTAACCCTCAGTTGATCAATCAGAATCTCTTCCTTAATTAATACTCCTAGGTTGCATTACGTTCATTATGAATTCCATAATTAGGGTTATTCCTAATACAGAAAATTACGTCTTTCTATCTCTAGAAATACATTCAAGTCCTTTTAATTGAGCAATGTTAATTTCATGTAGGAATTTTACTCAAATTCAAACAAGAAAACAAGATGGAAAATAATTGATACTACTCAATTAAACCCAAGAGAAGAAAACATGAAATAGCATTAAGAAGAATTCCAGAAGATTTGGTCACATAGGATTCATTACATCTAGATACTTAAAAGAAAATTAGAACCTAAACATGTAGAAACTACAATTACAAAAGAGAGAAATTAAAGAGTTTGATTCCATTCTCCAGTCGTTACTGACTTCTTCTTTCCCCATAACTGCCTTCCTCAGGTTTCTATGTCAAGTTCCCTTTTACATCAGTCGTCCAAGGGTTTATCTTCTCGCAGAATTTGAATTTTGACGCATGTTGAAAGTACATGGCCATGTACTTTGGCCTTGTACTTCTCTGGTCTCTAAAAATTGTCATTCAAAGCTTTTCTGAAAAGTCACGACTATGTGCACGACCATGTACTTTGGCCGCGTACATATCTGGTTTTTGATAATTGGCCTTCACAATTTTTATACGATGTACACGCCCATATACACGGTCATGTACTTTGACTCTGTATATCTCTGGTTTAGATGATGCTTTTCAATTGACGTGACCAGCGATGTACACGCTCATATACACGAGCGTGTACCTGCCCGTGTATATCTCTAGCTTGAATGTATGCATCCAGTGAGATACACACTCATATACATGGGCGTATACCTGCCCGTGTATATCTCTAGTTCCTTTCTTTCTTCAATTCCCAATATCTTTTAAGCTTTCACTTCTTGATCCTTTTTCCTGAAATATGAATAAAATGAACTTAATAATAGTAAATTCTCTCAATGAATAGTTCAAAAGTCTCAATTATCATTCATGAATTACAATGTAGGACCAAGTATAGAAAGCATTTATCATACATTCAAACCATTCTCAACACACACACTATTCAACATCAACCACATTATAGCTAACCACACAATTTTCAAAACATTTCCTCACAAATCATGTTCAACACGAAATGTACCTTAACACACATGCATATCCCTACATTTCATCCTAACCACATTGCAATACATAGTCAAATAAATGAATACAAAGCACAATAAGATAGAGTAGAGTCGCCCCTTACCTCAAAATGAAGACCCACACACAATAATAGAAGAAAATATTCCCCACACGGTGCTTCGTCCCTAAAATATGGGAAATCTCCATGAGAACTCAAAAAAACAGAGAAAGGGATGCAATACTGAAACCATAACTCCCAAAACTTACCTCCAAACGTCTCAAACATAACCCAACCTTCAATCTTGCTCACAAACTGCTTTGGAGGCAGTTCAATTAGTGAAATAGGGCTTTAAGTTGAGAGAATAGAAGAAAGTTTGAGGAGAAAGAGTGGGAATGTGTTTCTTGTCACGACCCTTTTTTTTATAAGGAACCGAGAACATTGTTTCTACACTACATATTTATTTAAAATAGGTAAATAATAGAGAATATAAGTATAAAATTTACTTCTCATTCAAAATAAAATAAAGTTTCTTACAACAAATATCCAACAGAACCACATAATATTACATTTAGTTCATAATATTCAAAATACCCAAAATTATACTACGTAGCTCTCTCTACATGAGGTCTCAAAATATAAAGAAAAAGAGACTTTGATGCAATATTACTCGACTCCAGCTTCTAACATTTCTCCACTGGCCCCTCAGCCTGTGAAGTAGATGCAACACCTGCTACATCTGCTCACGTACCATCGTACGATCATCACAGTACACACGCACACAACGACATAGAAAGGAATGCAAGGGTGAGCTTACAAAAATGAAATAAAATCATATGTGTAGAGCAAAATATTTCTCACAGGAATAGCCCTATGCATTTCTAGCCCATCTAATGCACAACATGAAAACCGTTTCCAACTGGTTTCACAGCCTAAGTAATCCAAAAGGAACCGAGCCGGTCCGAGAGCGACCCATTCCGGTATTTGGATCTAAACAGCAGAGCACAGCAGCTCAGCATGAACTTACCGTTACACGTCTACTCACCTAAACATGTAACTCGGCTCTATAATGATGCAAAACATATATCTCAGCATGATGCACACTGCCAAAATTATTTTCACAGCTCAACTAAAGCAAGTTTATAATAGATCAGCCAAAATCTCAGCATTTTAAATCAATTAACAACAGTTACAGCTTAGAAATAGCTTTTATTCAATAGATCTAACAAAATCATATCAAAACATCTTGAAATAGCATATTAAACCGTTCAAAACGTAGTTCATAGGTTAAAGTAAGCTCCCCTTATCTCAGAACGATGATTCACACTAGATCTACTAATATTACTTGTTTTATAGCAAGATTCACCGAAGATTTGGCTTTAAAACAAAGTTTCTCCTAAGAACACCATGAACTTCTATGAGAAAGAGAAAGAGAAGAGAAACAAACGGTAAATCTAGCTTCAAACCTAAAGAAACTTACTTCAAATCCTTCAGAATAGACGTAGAATCTCATATCTGACGAGAAAATTAAGTTTAGGAGGGTTTAGTATGAGAGAAAATGGCAGTATATGGCCTTAGAACCTTTGAGAACCTTGGAGAAGAGTGAAGAAATGAAAATTTCGTGTGAAGCCCCCTTTTTATAGAAAATTTTCAAAATTTACTGTTAACGCCGGAAACACTGTTCAGGGCACTATTCATGCCAGAAACACTGTACAAGCGTATTGTACATGCACTGTACGCGTATGTGACGTCAGCCATGACATCACTGATGATGTCAGCAGTCACTGTACATACGCGATTTTCACTGTTCACACGCGGTTTGCACTGTTCATAGGCGGTTTTACTGTTCATACAGTACTGTTCACTTTTTTTTTTTTTTTTAAATTATAATTTCAAACTCCATCTAAATCTATTCCAATACCAAATAATCCTTTAATTAACATTGAACAAGTATAAAATATTATAGATTACTCAATAATAAATCACTAGCCTGACATTTCTAAAATCCTAAACCCCTCAAATACCCTTCTAGTCATTACACTTTCCCTACAGCGAGCTATCTCTTGCTGCAGTGACACCCCTCTCGCTATAGCAAAAATCTCAGAGGAAACTGCACCCTAATTTCTACAGAATCTCACTGCAGCGAGACCCTCTCGCTACAACGAGACTGCACCCAGAAATGCACCCCTTTCTGTTGCCTTCTTGCTACAATGAGAACTCAGTAGTTTCATACCTTTTGCCTAGGGCCTTCTTGCTACAGCGAGAATGTCTCTACAGTTCACACTTAGCCTATTTTTCAATCCAATTCCAGCCCAATCACAATTCAAGCATGTTCAATCTCTATCCAAGATCAATATTCCCATCCATACTCTAACACACATAGCCATACACTTCTACGTCATCGCATATATTCAAATCATACATCCAAACATTACATATACACATACATTCACATCATCATACTCATCAAACACCCATTCAATGAAAATCACTACGCCAAAAATTGGCTTTTGGAGCGCCTACTTAGATAGCGGTTAGTAATAACTGCTTTGTATAAAACACTAAGAGAGCGGTTCTGCCTCAACCGCTCTCTAATATATACTTCTTAGAGTGGTTCCATTGGAACCACTCTCTAATATTGAATTCTGAGAGCGGTTCAAATGGAACCGTTCTCTTATATGGACTTCTGAGAGCGGTTCATTTGGAACCGCTCTCTAATATGGACTTCTGAGAGCGGTTGTTAAATAACCACTTTAAGAAGTATATTAGAGAGCGGTTATTTTATAACTGCTCTCAGATGTTGTATTTTTTAAACCCTAATATGGTTATCCTTGCCGCCCCGCCAAGTCTGTACTTCAAAATTCTCTATGTTCAGTGTTCTTTGAGAAATTTTTGCAGAGGAAGAAGCACACCTAACATCGCAATCAGAAATTGAAGTTATATTCATAATCGTTTCTTTGTTTTGTGGCCATGTTTGGACATCCGCACTCTCTCATTCTCTCTGTTCACTGATACGTATCTCTGCTTTTTACGTTGAACAGTGACAACATCTCCTCCATTTCTGGTCCTAGCTGAAATGCGACAAATTTACACTCCTTTCTTAATTTCAAGTTAGTGCATGCTGCTGTGTTTATAATTTGTATGACTGAATATTGTTAACATGTTGACCATTGCTGCTGCGTGAACAAAGAGCGTGAAATTAATTTTTATTTTGTAAAAGTTGATATATGCAGGTTCAATCTTAGTTTGTTAACCTCTGAAATGTTGTTGGAATGGTTTTTTAGGATTTGTTGAACATGATATTAGGACACTGGTTAGTTATAATGGAAGAGCATGCTGTTGTGTTTGTTAACCTATGATATTAGGATTTTTCAAATTCTTATATTCTTGTTTGTTTTGCCCCCGAAATGTATATTTCCTCTGTGTATGAATGAATTTGATGTTGTATTGTAGAATGTGATGAATGCATGATTATTGTTAGTGATTAAACTTTGTAGGTTATGACTTCAAATGTAAAATTGAGTGAAACTATAGTCACTCGTTTGAGATTGAAAATAATGTTTAATAAATCATTATTTTCAATCTCAAATTGTCCAAATTGGACAGTTTGTGAACAAACTTATTCATTAATTTGTTAGCATTTGCTTCTCATAATGTTGTATTTGAGTTTAAAGCATTTCTCATTATCTCTTGGTGCATGCTTTGATTGAGGTAAATCATCTCATATATTTCAAGTTGTGTACTAGGAGACTAATGCGAAATGCTGCCCAAATTTTGTCAAGTAAAAAATACAACATTTAAGTAGCATTTGTTAATTAAGGTTAGAAAAAGTTTGTTCTCAAATGGGATAGGGCCCTACCATGTGAGAGTTAATAAGACATTCATATTTATAATGATCGTAATCGTAGTTGGAGCAAATATGGATCGAAGTTGGATGGTAGCTGATCGTTTAAGTGAAGAATACGAAGACGGAGTCGAAGAGTTTATAAGATTTGCGATTAAGAATGCAACTGATGTCAACCTTATTCCCTGTCCTTGTTGGTGTTTTTGAATATGTTACAAGTAAATGCGGAAGAATTGGAAGAACATCTAATATGCAATGAGATAGATGAAAAATATGCTTGCTGGACAAAGCACGGTGAGATACAAGGTGGAAGTACATCAACTAACATGGAATCAAGTGTCAATTACTCAGAGACATTTAGAACAAATAAGAGTGATCATGCTGAACAAATTCCAAATGCTGTTGAAGAAGATCTTAGAGATTGTCCAAAGATGTTTGACAGGCTGAAAGATGATGCAAAAACACCATTGTATAATGGATGTACAAAGTTCACAATATTGAGTTCTGTTTTAAAGCTTTATAACTTAAAAGCCTCAAATGGATGGACTGATAAGAGCTTCACAGAGCTGCTAAGTTTATTACATGAGATGCTGCTGAAGGATAATGTGCTACCGAAGAGAACATATGAGGCTAAACAAGTACTTGCTTCCATTGGATTGACCCATGAAAAGATACATGTTTGTTCTAATGACTGCATTTTGTTTCGAAATGAGTATGCATCACTAAGGAAATGTCCAAAGTGTAATGTATCACGATACCTAAAGAAAGACACAACACCTGCGAAGGTCGTGTGGTATTTTCCACTAATACTGAGGTTAAGACGTCTTTTTCGTAGTGCAGAAAATGCAAAGCAGATGACTTGGCATGCTGAAGGTCGAATTAGAGATGGAAAGCTTAGGCATCCAGCAGATTCTCTGCAGTGGAAAAAATTTGACAATGATCATGAAGAGTTTGCAATTGAAACAAGGAATATACGTTTTGCATTAGCAACTGATGGAATGAATCCACATGGCATGCAAAGTAGCACCCATAGTACATGTCCCGTGATCTTAATAATGTATAACCTACTTCCATGGCTTTGCATGAAGTGAAAATATATGATACTTTCTTTGTTAATTTTGGTCCTAAACAACCTGGAAATGACATTGATATGTACTTGTCTCCTTTAATTGAAGATTTGAAGTTGTTGTGGGATAATGGCATATAAGTATATGACGGATTTAGAGATAAAAATTTCACGGTGAAGGCAATGTTGTATGGAACAATTAATGACTTTCCTACATATGAAAATCTTTCTGGTTACAGTATCAAAGGTTAATGTGCATGTCCAATATGTTAGGAAAAAACAAATTACGTAAGACTAGATCATTGTCACAAAAATATTTTCATGGGGCATCGTAGGTGGTTGTCAAAAAATCATCCTTTCAGAAAAATGAAAAAAGCTTTTAATGGAAGTTGTGAAGAATGACGATGTCCTTATTTGAAGAGTGGAGAAGAAATATTTGATGAGGTTAAACATATAAGAATAACATTTGGAAAACCTTTTGCCAAACAAATTCCAACCGCAGGTTGGAAGAAGATGTCAATTTTCTTTCAGTTATCATACTGGAAATCTTTATACGTAAGAAACTTTGTTGATGTTATGCATGTTGAAAAAAATGTTTGTGAAAGTGTGATTAGTACATTATTAAACATTGTGGGAAAAAAGAAAGATGGCATCAATGCAAGACTTGACTTGGTGAAGTTGGGAATACGATCCGATTTGGCTCCAGTGAAGAAGGGAAATCGGACCTTTTTACTGCCAACAGCATGTACCCTGTCTAGATATGAGAAACGTGCTTTATATGAGACTCTTTATTCAGTTAAGGTTCCAAAGGGGTATTCATCAAACATTAAAAGTCTTGTATCACTTAAGGACCTAAAGTTAAAAGGATTGAAGTCTCATGATTGCCATATATTAATAGAGAATTTAATTCCTGTTGCTATACAGTCTATTCTACCGAAGAAGGTTTGTATGGCAATCACGAAGTTGTGTTTCTTTTTCAAGGTAATATATGTAGCAAAGTGATTGATCCTGGAAGATTACCATGTTGGTAAAACGAAATAGTTGAAACTTTATGTGAGCTGGAAATGTATTTTTTACCGTCATTCTTTGATATCATGGTTCATTTAACTATTCACTTTGTGGAAGAGACAAAATTGTGTGGCCCTACATAAACGCGATGGATCACTACAACACAAATAGTTTTTAATGGCAATTTTTATAATTTTTAGTGGCAATAAAAATAGTCATTAAAAATTTTACCAGCAAAACATTATTTGCCGTTGTATTCAATGTCGGTAAAAATTTTACTGACCATTATAAAGAATGCTGGTAAAAATTTAATTTATTGCCGCTAAAAACCTTAATTTATAATGGTAAATGTTAATGACAGTTTAAATGGTCACTAAAAATAAATTTAAAATTAATTTTTTTATTCATTTACTAGCTTTTATTATTGCCGCTAAAAATTTAAAATTATTTTTATTAATAATTTATAATCTTTTAAATATTAATAATTTGATTACTAAAAATTAAAATGCTTAATTTGTTTAAAGTTGGAAATGTTAGTCATATAGCACTTACCCTCATAAATTTTAAATCCTAAAAAATAATATAGCTATGGACCATAAGATATATAGATAGCCTACTCTAAACTAACACAACTCAAATCATCTAAACATTAAAATGCTCTAAGATCTAAACACGTAACATGAAAGCAATGCTATAATCTACTTCGAATAATTCCCAATGTAATGCCAAAGTAAAAAGGTTATATCAAACAATTGTCATTTTCTTTCACATTATTATTCAGAGTTGTCAAAACAATTACAAACTATGTCTCTACATAAGAGAAGTCTGAATTGTCTTGAATGAACTATCCTGCCATTTGCAAGGTCTCCAACAAGCCCAACTTTTATGCCATCAAGCTTTCCAATCTCTCTTCCCATGGTATAGACATCTAAAAGTGCCTGAGTAGAGTTTGAAAAAGTAGTAAAGCTTTAAGCTAAATTTATTGTAGTATTACTTTAGTTACAAAGTCTATCACAAAAATAATACAATACCTTGAGTCTGCCTTCAGAAGTCTTTCCAACTTTACAAAGACAATAAGAAAAGCATTTAAAAAAAATATATATAGAATATGTTCAAAAGTACTTTAAAACATTATTGAATAGTTTAATAAAGGGGATGGGAGCAAAAGCCAAGCATGGCAAAAACAAAAATCATGTTCTATCTATAAAAACAGACCAGCATAACTCAATCTCAAAAGTTAATGCAAGGGGGAGAATTACCCAAGTCTAATGTGGAGTGTTTCAATCATATAAGTAGCTGATATTGGACATCTTTCTTCAGGATCTTTCTTCAAAATCCCAACTTCTCTCACCTTTTTTCTATCCTTCTTGTTCTGTTAACAAAAAAAAAGAAGAAGGTGGAAGTATACAGAATTAGACCCTACGTTAAATTCTTGGAAAACAAAAGCTTACTTTCATCAATTTTCAGCTGTCAAAGTTATTCTCAATTCCTTAACAAGAAAATATTAAAAAAAAAATCAACAGTTAAACTAAATTGTCTTGATTTTATTTCATCAATTTTAGCATCATAAAATAGTAATATGTAATATATAATATGACATGTAATTAAAATACTTATCAAACTGAACCATGACACGAAGCTTCTGAATCTCCACCTCTTTCACCACTTAACTTTCCAAGAGTTGCTACACATAACACAAATACCACAAAAGATTTTATAATTAAAGTGGGTAAAGATATGAAAAACATAAAAACTAAAAGATATAATACCATGAGAAAGTGCACCCTTTTCATTAGCACCATGTGAGTGAAGTGCTTGTCCTACTTGTTCAGGGCCACTATAAGTATCAAGAATCTAGAAAATATTATGTTATGAGAAAATAAACTTGTCTTATAGTAACACATTTTAAGCAAAAATAAAATTTAAAAGCTTAATTTGAGAACCTTACATGTCTAAATGAGCTTCCACTACAATTTTGAGTTCCAGGTAACTCAGTAGTAAAAAATTTACCCATAACTTGTCTCATGAAAGACAACTCTGAGAGTAACTTGTCTTAATTTTGTTTCATCAAACTCATTTCAGCATCATGTTTTTCCTTTAGTTCTTTTATCTCTTGCTCTAACCTTTGGATCACTTCATTAGATGTATTATCCATAACAATATTTTTTAAGAAAGATTTACTACCCCATAGCAAAGAAGGAGTTGGACCAAGTCCCAAACCACGAACATAGCCACTTCTTTCATTTCCCAACACTTGGGAATACACATCTCCTTCCCAAGCAACACTTCCAGCAGTTTGTTCATTTGATGAGGACTCACCATTATTCAACTTTTCTTGCATAATTTCCTAAGTATAACAAGCATTGCAATTCATAACATACTCAGGCTCATTTACAAAATAATATAAATATAATTTATTAAAGACAAAATTTCATAAAAAAATCTTACTACTGTTTTTGCAGACTCTTCGTCTAATGGCCTACTATCTTTACGTTTTTTATGAGTTAAGATGAAAATTTTTGCTCGTGTAGGCTCTATTCCATCTTTAGCCTAATATAAATCAAGTTAAATTAATCAAAATCTTATCACAAATGTATGTATATAATATTTTGTAAATTTTTAATAATACCTTTTCATCCATCAAAGTTTCAATGCTTTTGGATCCTCCAGTGTGAGGCATCTTTTGCTTTGCTCTATTGTGTCGATTAGCTTGACTACGTTTCTGTCATTACAATAAAAATGTAGTTAATATTATATTATGACAGCATTATAGTAAAGTGCAATAAGCTTATAATATGATCTCACATAGAAAAGTTATTACCTTTGCTTTATCAGAAACCCAATAAGAGACAAGACCAATCCATTGATCCCTTGGTATACGATTTGGTCAATTTTTCAACAAGGCATCTTTTGTCTTATACTTAGTCATATAAAAACTCTTCAAATCACATTTATAATCTTTCCATTTTTTCCCAAGCGATTTTTTGACAAATTCTTCACCACGTGCAGGGATCAAAAACTTCTTCTGTAAATAAACAATAAAGTTACAAGCTCATATCATGCATGATAAACATGAATCTAAGATTAAATGAATAATAATTAAAAGAAATTATTTCATACTCTCAGAAATTCCACCAACTTTATCTTTTCATCTTTGTCAAAAACTCTCTAATCATCAATATTTAAAGGTATTAGTTCAGGAGTTCTAGCTATGATGCCAAGAAAGCTAGAAAGCTTTCGACCTTCCTTTCCTATAGCTTGATTGCGATTATTGAATTTCACATCTATTATTTTTCCTGTAGGCATATTCCATATATCTCTTAATAAGGTTGAACCACGAACTTTCCTTATATATGAAGAACCTGACATGAAATCATTTAAATGTTATAAATTCAATCAAACAAAAAAAATAAAGCAAGCAATTATTCATTATAATAATGTCACCTGATTCATCATTTTGCTCAACATTAGTGCTATCTGGATTAATCAATTCTCTAATTTGACCATGAGAGCTGTTGTGGATGTTTATTAATTGCTCTATATAACGCCGCACTTTTTCATCATGGCGTTGTTCTTCAACAAACCTAATGTTACTTTTTTTAACCATTATGACAATTTTTCCTGCAATATTCTTTAATATTAGTACAAAGATCATGATGTATTTAAATAAAATAGACAAATAAATATATGCATTTTATACCTATTCCAATAAACAAACCTATTATAAGCAAAGAACTAGAAGATAAAGTGTGAAGACAGCTGCATGAACATAAAAAGAAAGTGTGAAAAATGATTAAATATAAAACTCAAATAAAAAATATAAATATTTGTTTTGAATTACCTATTTTATTGAGAATCATTATCATATTCATTGTCATTTCCTTTATCGACAAGAGGGTTGGATTGTAAACTCACACCAATTATTATCCCTTCAACATTGCTCCTTACCCAATCATTATTGTCATGGTCTAAGTCAGAAACACTTTCTAACAAAGATATGTCACTCACATCATTTTGCATTGATGACTCAAACTGTATTTTTTTTTATTCCCATATCAAAAATGTCTCGAGTTTCTCCATGTTACACAATGTTAGTGCAACTTTTTCTTCAAGTAAAATTAACTCTTCCATTTTTAGAACTTTGCTGCAAAGCACCTGAAAGAAGGTGCATAACTCAATTAAAGTAGAACCCACTTTTTGATCTATTGTTCCCCGCAAAGCAAGAGGAAGAAGTTCTTGCATTAAAACATGGCAGTCATGAGTTTTTAACTTTGATATTTTTTGTTTACGAATGCAACGTGAGATATTAGATGCATAGCCATGTGAAAATTTAGTATTTTCCAATACTTCATAGAATAACTTCTTTTCTTCAGCAAAGAATTGCTGCACCTTCACCTTCTCCACCACCTCAGCCAAGAGCAACTGCATCTTCACCTTCTCCACCACCTCAGCCAAGAGTAACTGCACCTTCAACCTCTTCACCACTGCAACACATGACCCCAGATTCAAAAGTATGGCTCATGAAAACTTTTTCAGAGCCAACATTTTGAGAAGAAAAATTGTTCTGGATAGAGCTTTTCAAATAGCTGGGAACACTCATCCAGAATTCACAGAAGAAATCCAAAAAAGAGACTGGGAATTTTTCTGTACAGCGGCTGGTCAAGGATGGATAGAAATCACACAAGAATTCTATGCCAATGCCATGAGGTTCAAGGGAAAGCAAATCCCTAAGTTCAGCTCGATGGTCAAAGGAATAAGGATTGATTTCTCACCTGCAAACATCAATAGGTTGCTGGAAATTAACTCTGCATAACATTCTGCACAGCTGGACTTCAAATCATTTAAAGAGAGTCCAAACATTGACTTTGGGCATTTTGAAGACAAAGAGGGATTCCTTGGCTTTTCCCTCAGTCATCACCCTGCTATGTGAGGATGTAAGAGTGGAATTTGGAGATTACTAAGAAAGGATTAGGGCTGCACCTTTCATTACTGCA